GACACGGGTTCGAGCCCTGGTCTGCGAAGATCCCACATGCCGCGGAGCAATTAAGCCCGTGCACCACAACTACTAAGCCTGTGCTCTAGAGCCCGCAAGCCACAACTACTGAAGCCCGCGTGCCTAGAGCCCGTGCTCCACAACAAGAGAAGCTACCGCAATGAGAAGCCCGCGCACCACAACGAAGAGTAGCCCCCGCTCGCCACAACTAGAGAAAAGCCCGCGTGCAGCAATGAAGACCCAACGCAGCCAAAAATAAATAAATTAATTAATTTTAAAAAATAATTTAAAAAAAGCTGGAAACATGCAAGTATTCGTCAACGGGGGAAAATGAGTAAATTAATTTTGGTAACCTTGTCCCACTGCATAGTGGCCCACGATGGGACCCTTAAAAGAATATGATAGATCTACATGTATTAACACGGTATATAATCGATATATTCATGGTACATAATTGATGAAAAAAGTGGGTTTGAAACAGTATGTGTGATAGGAAATTAGATATAGCTACATAACAAAATATGCACATGTTAAAATGTATATATGTATACATGATTACAAAAGTACATATTAAAAAATACCATGTAGGATGAGCCTCTAATTATTAATAGTGGTTACCTCCAGGGGAAGGACTAGAGGAGGAGAAATGGAACTTCCATACTTCCTACATTACAGAATTGCCAGAACATTTTTACAATAAGCATGAATTACTTCTATATTAAAATAGCTTTTGAACTAATTTTTACAGATATTAGACATTGTAAATATGTTAGTGCACCATAAATTAATCTATAAATAGATTGTTCTCCCAATGAAAATTCCACAGGGTCTTTTTTTGGAATCTCACAAGCTGATTCTAAAGTTCATATGGAAAAATAAACATACTAGAATAACCAAAAATTTTCTGAAAAGGAAAAGAAATGAGAGGAGACAAACCCTAGCAGGTATTAAAATGCACTGTCAAAACTACAATAATTAATAGACTCAGCTGGAGAGTAACCCGTGAATAGACAGGCAGATCAATTCAATACAAAAGAGCCCAGAAATAGACACAAATGCTTGCGAAAAATTGTTATGGGATAAAGGTGTCCCTTCAAACCAGTGGGGATCAACAAGTCCTTCAATAAACAGTATTGGGGGCTTCCCTGGTGGTACAGTGGTTGAGTCCGCCTGCCGATGCAGGGGACACGGGTTCGTGCCCCGGCCCGGGAAGATCCCACATGCCGCGGAGCGGCTGGGCCCGTGAGCCATGGCCACTGAGCCTGCGCGTCCGGAGCCTGTGCTCCGCAACGGGAGAGGCCACAACAGTGAGAGGCTCGCATACCGCAAAAAAAAAATAAAAAAATAAAATTAAACAGTATTGGAACAACTGGGTTGCCAGCTTGGGAGAAAAAAGAACTGAATCCCTCATTTGATCCCTACACCTAATAAATTCCAGGTGACTCTAGATATAAACGTTAAAGAGAAAAACTATAAAAGTACTAGAAAAAAGTATGAGCGAATATGAGCATATTTTATAATAAAGGAATGGAGAATAGGACTCAGACATCTTTGGGGGCCATTACTCTGCTTGCCCCAAAAGGTACCACTGAGCTGGTGCCTCTTCTACCCCGGGCACTGAGGACACAGGAGGACAGTAGCCACATAACCCTTGCCTCATAGAGTTCATATTCCAGCTGCGGGCGTTACGGAGCCCAAGCTCATTCTGCTCACCACACGACAGGCCCGTAAATTGGGAGACAAGCTGTCGCAACAAGGAATAACGCTTTTAATCAGAAAGCTAGCAGACCGAGAAGACACACCAGCGTCTCAAAAAAACGATCTTCCCTCAGTCCGAATTCTGGGCTCCTGTTACACAGAAGAGGGGAGGGGCGGGGCCCCTGCAGCGCCGACCAATGGCTGAGCGGGGCTGCTACAGCTCGCGCCTGCCCCGCCCCTATTACAGGGGGAGGGAGGCAATAAACAAAAACACAAATAAAATAAATCATGTTAGATGGTGATTAGTTCTATGGAGAGGTACAGAGCAGGAAAGGAGGCAAAGGTGAGTTGAGGCTGGGTGAAGGGATTTAGAGCCAGGAAGCCCTCACTGGGAAGGGGACACTGGTCTGAAGGAGGAAAGTGAGCAGCTGTGCAGACACCTGGGGGGAAGAGCATTCCAGGTAGAGGGGGACAGCAAGTGCAAAGGCCTTGAGGCTGGAGTGCATCTGACACATTCACAGAGCAGAAGGTGACAAGTGGGGCTGGCGGAGGGTAAGAGAGATGGTAGGGAAAAAGGCCAGAGACAGTTGGGAGGAGGTCTTTTCCTTGGAGTGAGATAGAGCCTCTGGAGGAATTTGAGCAGAGACTAACAAGGTCTGCCTTCCTAAAATTCTGTTCAAATGCAAGGCAGGAAGCCAGGAGGTTATCACGGTGATCACGGTAGAAAGTGATAACGTGGTTCATGGTACTAGCAGTGGGGGTGAAGAAGAGCAATTTGATTTTGTGATCTGACAGGATATGACATACAGCCAGAGCTACAGACAGATTGTAGGATGTGAGAAAACTGGTAAGTCAAGAACGACCCTAAGGGTTTTGGTCTGAGCAGTTGGAAAGATGGAACTGCCATCACTGGAGAAAGAGGTTCAAGAGAGAAGTTGGGCTTCCCTGGTGGCGCAGTGGTTGGGAGTCCACCTGCCGATGCAGGGGACGCGGGTTTGTACCCCGGTCCAGGAAGATCCCACATGCCGCGGAGCGGCTGGGCCCGTGAGCCGTGGCCACTGGGCCTGAGCGTCCGCAACCTGTGCTCCACAACGGGAGAGGCCACAACAGTGAGAGGCCCGCGTACCGCAAAAAAAAAAAAAAGAGAGAGAAGTGGATTTGGGGGCGATAATTAGTTCATTTGGGAAATGTTAATTTTGAGATTCTATGTTAATGTTAATAAATGTTCGTAAAATGTTAATTTTGAGACATCCAGTAGAGCTGCCAAATGGGCAGTTGTAAATCCAAATCTTGACTTCAGGAAAGAAGGCTAGAAGATAAAAGTTGGGAGTCAGAGAAATGGCATTTAAAAACGTGAGATTGAACAATGGGGTCACCCGTTGGCAAAGCCAAAGTTTGGACCCAGATCTTGGTCCTGCCTTTCTACATTGAAGATTTGAGGTGGAGAACTAGCTGTATTCCTTATCCTTTGTTTCGTTTAGAGAGCAATTAATTTCTATTTTTCTTCTTTTAGTAGGAAAGTATTTCATGTTCAATTTAGAGACCAGACACCAGATAATAAACACCCAAAATGTAAATGACCTATAATCTCATTAAGCATAATCGCTCTTAGCCATTTGATGTATTTCCTTTCAGACTCTTGCTAATGTATATATTTTGTATGGCACACAATACCCAAAAAGTATTAGTTGGTTTTGCCTTTTTATAAAAAAAAATATATATATGAGAAAGGAAATGTGGGTCCCCTTGGGAGACTCACCTGGTGAATATCCATCCATGAAAATATCACTCTCTCCAAGGCAGGCTTTCTGCCCAAGATGCCTCGTTTTGCACAAGTATGGTCAGTGCTTCCCCTTGGGCTGTGCAGCCACTCGGCTCTGCCATCTGCTGAGCAGATGAGGAGCCTGGCTTTCTTTTTTTCCTGTTTCTTTGGCGGTACGCTGGCCTCTCACTGTTGTGGCCTCTCTCGTTGCGGAGCACAGGCTCCGGACGCGCAGGCTCAGCGGCCATGGCTCACGGGCCCAGCCGCTCCGCGGCATGTGGGATCTTCCCGGGCCGGGGCACGAACCCGTGTCCCCTGCATCGGCAGGCGGACTCTCAACCACTGCGCCACCAGGGAAGCCCGAGCCTGGCTTTCTGACGTGTACCTGTGGCACCTGGTGGATAAACACATAAATGGGCGCTTGGCTGGTGTGACTCTCTTGTGTATAACAGGCCTCACCGCCACGCGGCTTCCACCCATAGTTGGGTAAGTGAGAGGCTCGTTCTGTGGCAGCAGGAAATTTACTTCCTTACACAAACTGTGAGGTTCAGGAAAGGGTATTCAGCAGCGGTTTCACAGCGGAGAGAGAAAACCCCTGGGAATTCATTTTGTCTTTTCAGCTCCCAGAACATCTCATTCAGAGAGGAACTGTCATCTTTCTATTCCTGACCTAGTACTAAGGCTCAGAACCAGTGACCTGCCTGCATTTTGCCTGAATTTCTTGCAAACTGTGAGGCCGAAGAGAGAGCAGCTGCTCTAAATACTGATTTGCGAAGGGAGTACAGGGTGAGGGGCAAAATCTGGCCCCTCACCTGCTCCCACACACACACCTTCCCCACTCCATGCCCCATCCTTCCAGCTGCTCCCACCAGGACAAGGGGAAACTGTGACACGACCATGGGGACCCCAGAGTCAGGATTTTTATCACCATGGAGGTCAGTCATCTCTTACAACAATGCCCGTAAGACACAGCCTCACTCACCCCTGCCAGAGGCTGACATCATATGCTGATAAAAGCACAGATTTTTGTTTTTAATATTCTTTTTTTTTTTTCCCACGCTGTGTGGCATATGAGATCTTAGTTCCCCGACCAGGGATCGAACCCATGCCCCCTACTTTGGTAGGGTGGAGTCTTAACCACTGGACCACCAGGGAAGTCCTATTCTTGCTTTTTGACCAAGTAATCCTACTTTTTTGTATATATATATCCATTTATTTATTTATTTATTTTATTTTTGGCTGCGTTGGGTCTTTGTTGCTGCAGGAGGGCTGGGCTTTCTCTAGTTGCAGCGAGCAGGGGCTACTCTTCATTGTGGTGCGCGGGCTTCTCATTGTGGTGGCTTCTCTTGTTGCGGACCACAGGCTCTAGGTGCGCAGGCTTCAGTAGTTGGGGCTCGTGGGCTCTAGAGCGCAGGCTCAGTAGTTGTGGCACATGGGCTTAGTTGCTCCACAGCATGTGGGATCTTCCCGGACCAGGGCTCAAACCCATGTCCCCTGCATTGGCAGGTGGATTCTTAACCACTGCGCCGCCAAGGAAGTCCCCAAACCACAGATTTTAGAGGCAGCATACCTGGGCTCAAATCCCACCTTGATCAAGTTACTTAATCCCAGACTTGGTTTTCCCACCTGCAAAATTGGGATGATAATACCCACCTCTCAAGGCTGTGAGGCAAGGCTAAATAAAATGTCTGTAGATCCCCTGGTCCATAGTAGGTCACAGAAAATGTTATTTCCTGCTCCTGTTCATGGAGACCAGCCTTGTTGACGTGGATTCCCTCTCTGCATCCTCCTTCTGGGGGCCTCAGAAGGTCATCTGGCAACACACTTCTCCCTTAGTATCTTCAATAGCGCTCTAGAGGGGGAATCACACGTCATTACCTTGACATTTGCAGTTGATACTAAAATAGATGTGAGGTGAAGTGCTGAGACTCAAAGTCACAGTTCAGGGCCTAAAGAGGTTCAAAATGAAAATGACCTAGGGGAAGAAGTTAATTTGGGAAAATGTGAGTAACTCTCTTCAGGGGGAAGTGTAGACGCTCTCCCAAGTTGCCTCAACGGCACCAGTCGGTGAGGAGGGCGGAGTGTGGCCAGCCTGGGTATTGAAAAGTTGTTCCTGTCCCAGGGTCTGAGGGGTCTTGAAGGGTGAGAACTGCTGAGGCCTCCAGAAGAATCATGTGTGTGGGTCCCGAGAGGAATGCCTGAGCCCCACTATTATGAATGGCTTCATCAGGTAATCTCACTGTCATTTCAGAGTCCTCCCAGGGGAAATGGGAAGGCAGGAGATAAGGCATCTCATCCTTTTCCACTTAGGCATCGCTAGAAGATACACAGTGGAGAGCAGTAGGGAATATAAGAGCAACTTCAACTTAAAGTCAAACCTTCTAGTTTCAAGATAATTTCTACAAATGAGTATTAAATACAATGTGACAGGTGGGATAAAGGCTGACTCCTCAACATGGCATGCTATGCCCTGCGTCCCTCCTATGTCTGCCCCCTACCAGCTGCCCAGAACTTTATTCACATCCTAGAACATGTGTCTCTCACACTTGTGCACCTCCACAAAAGCCCTTCTTTCCTCCTGATCTCAGCTCCAGGGGTGAATACTAGTTGTGTCCAAGGCCAATCTCAGTGCTCCCATTGCCACGCTGGTCATTGGTTTGGGTGTGAGCTTGTAACACAGATCTGGCAAAGAGATGAAAGGGAAATGTGCTGGGGGAAGAGGGGATTCTGGGAAAAGTTTTCCCACTAATTAAATTTTATTTTTCTTTATTATTATTATTTTTTTGGCCGCACTGTGCACTTGTGGGATCTTAGTCCCCCAACCAGGGATCGAACCTAGGCCCTCACCAATGAGAGTGTTGAGCCCTAACTACTGGACCGCCAGGGAATTCCCTTTTCCCACTATTTAAACAAAAAAAGAACATTAAACAAAAAGTTCCTCTCATTCTGCCAGACATTGTCATGTCTGTGTGTGAAGCCTGGAACCATGGCAGCCACTTTGTGACAGGGAGGGAGCTAAGCTGATATAATGAGGACTGCAAAGTGGAAAGATGGAAAGAATCTGCGGTTTTGACAACATTGTTTGAGCCAATGGACTACTCAGCCATGGCAGCTGTTCTACCTCAAGACTTCTTGCTAAGTGAGGTAATACATTTTTCTTATAGTTGTAGCCACTTGAGGTTTTTGCTCATTGCCACTAAAAGTGTCCTGATACAAGACTTGAAGTCAATTTTCAATGTTCTAATTTAATCATATAAATAGTCACAAGGCTAAATCGTCTTTCTCTGAATCTTCTAGTTTGTCTTGTGATGGGCTGGGGAACATTGAGGGCACCATGAAGGAGGAGAAGCACAGTCTTTCTTGGCTGTCCATAAACTGAGACTAGCATGTGCCTGAATGAGTGTTTGTTCCTGCAGAGATGGGTAGTTAGTTTTCTACATTTTACTAGGAAGTGTGTGTGTATGTGTTTTAAAAATGAGGATGCACTTGGACAATTTTAAAAGATAAGGACACGAGGGAAAAGCTAAAGGAGCTTTTTTTTTGTGAGAGGTTTAACGGAAGTCTATACTTGGAGAGTCAAGGCCTTTTTTCTACCATGCACAAGAGCACCTGGCCAACGGGGTGAATGGGCACAAAAATCCAACTCGCTCCTGGCACAGGCTGCATCTACCTGAAGGAAGGGGTGCATTTTTTCTCAACTGCACAAAGGTACCATAAGGGCTAGCGGTAGTCTTATGGGCAATACTGTTTCAAGGCCGGTAACAAAGTATGGCATAGAGGTCTGAAGCAGATAAGAGGATCTATGTCCATGTTTTGCCCACAACTGCTCTAGAAGTCCAGGAAGTGGACTTCAGCAACAGCAGGAGAGAGCTACTTGAAACAGATGTTCTTGAAACCCTCAGGAGCATACCACTGTGTCTGAAAATTGCTTTAAATATTTCATCACTGACCAGGTGTGATTACATGTGTGCTAGTTAGTTCAAGCATCATCTCTAAGTATGTCAGTTGTCCAAAGTAAGAATATGTGTTCCAGGGGTGATCAGTTGGCCTTACATCAAAAGAGCCATAACATGAGGTGGATAGACCCAGAGTCTGTCATACAGAGTGAAGTAAGTCAGAAAGAAAAAGACAAATACCGTATGCTAACACATATATATGGAATTTAAGAAAAAAAAATGTCATGAAGAACCTAGGGGTAAGACAGGAATAAAGACACAGACCTACTGGAGAACGGACTTGAGGATATGGGGAGGGGGAAGGGTGAGCTGTGACAGGGCAAGAGAGAGTCATGGACATATATACACTAACAAACGTAAGGTAGATAGCTAGTGGGAAGCAGCCGCATAGCACAGGGAGATCAGCTTGGTGCTTTGTGACCGCCTGGAGGGTGGGATAGGGAGGGTGGGAGGGAGACGCAAGAGGGAAAACATATGGGAACATATGTATATGTATAACTGATTCACTTTGTTATAAAGCAGAAACTAACACACCATTGTAAAGCAATTATACCCCAATAAAGATGTTAAAAATAAATAAATAAATAAAATAACAAAGAGCCATAACAGAGTATTTCCGATATCAGTCTTTCCTTTACTGCTTTGCTAACTGGAAGAGTGAATGTCAGAAATTGCTTTTATTTTTTTTATAACTTTTTTTTTTTTTTTTTTTTGTGTTGCGTTTTGTTTTTGTTGCTGGCTTTGGGTATTTGCAGCAAGCGGGGGCTACTCTTTGTTGCGGTGCACGGGCTTCTCATTGCCGTGGCTTCTCTTGTTGTGGAGCACGGGCTCTAGGTGTGTGGGCTTCAGTAGTTGTGGCTCGCGGGCTCTAGAGCGCAGCGGGCTTCAGTAGTTGTGGCTCGCAGGCTCTAGAGCGCAGCCTCAGTATTTGTGGCGCACGGGTTTATTTGCTCCACAGCATGTGGGATCTTCCCGGACCAGGGCTCGAACCCGTGTCCCCTGCATTGGTAGGTGGATTCTTAACGACTACACCACCAGGGAAGTCCAGAAATTGCTTTTCAATGATGAAATTAGCAACTTGTTGACTAACATGATTCATGCTTAGAAATGCACTGTCATTTGGTAAAAGAAATGATATTTAAGATATGTAGGCTGGACATAATATTTTAGAGACATTTCCCACTCTTTACAGTCAGGAAGAAAGAATCTTGCACCCTGAGGAAGGATTGTTCCTAAATGGTCCCGGATCCAGCCATTGTTTCTGAGGATTCCTGGTTGCCAAAGCCCACTCTAACCTGAACTGAATCCAGCCTCTGGAATGTTGGAGTCATCAGGGCAACTTTAATGGCAGGGAGCTGGAACTTCATTGAAATTACAGAAGAGGTTTTAGGACCATTTTGGTCCCTGCTGCTTGCTAATAAATATTCCTGTAATAAGTATCAGCAGGGGTGGCAGAGTTTGGTCTGAGACTTGTTTTTATTATGAGAAGATTGTGAAGGTCCACTGAAATCTCCCCAAACCATCCCTGAGGTTAGTTTTCAACAGGAAACCATCCTCAATGGCAATACACAGTGAGGTTCCTTTAGAAAGTTTTCTTTTTATATTTATTTATTAGTTAATTTATTTTGGCTGTGCCGGGTCTTAGTTGCAGCATGCAGGATCTTCATTGAGGCATATGGACTTCTTAGTTATGGCATGCATGCAGGATCTAGTTCCCTGACCAGGGATCGAACCCGGTCCCCCTGCACGGAGTCTTACCCACTGGACCACCGGGGAAGTCCCCCTTTAGGAAGTTTTGAGAGCAGTGGATTTTGTCCTGGGGGAGCCAGAACACGAGGGACAGAACGTGGTGAATGGAAGAGAAAGAACATGGTGATGCTGCATGATCATCTAGTGGACAAACAGATTCCTAAGCACTCATAAGGCACACCTTTAGAAACTTCCAGAAATAAGTAGAAAGTAAGAGCTGCTGATAGCTCACAGTACAGCTGGCTAAGGCTCAAACAATCTTAGTTTGGGCATTAAAAGCAAATGTAACTTCATTTCCTACCCACATACTGGAAAGGTCCAAAATATTAGTTACATCCAGTGAAACTAAGCACGATTATATATAATACAGCATTTAAAGTGTGCAATGGTTGCAGGTATAAGCCATCCTGGAAAAAAAAACAGTTGGAACAATCCAAGAGCAGAGGTCTTGATCCAAGTTATGGCTTCTGTGAGGTTTAATAGGGACATAGTCCCTTTTCCTCTACTGGGCTTGTGAAGTTTTATCTACTACTTCTGGTGATTTTAGGTGTTATCTTCCGGGGAAGGGGAGGAGAGGAGTGGGCGGTAAAGCTTGTTGTGTCAAAGGCTTGTCATGGGGACCCTCTAGCTGGTAGTTTCAAATGACAATTACGGAGAAAACTGGGACATTTGGGGGTTCCTGGATTTCCATTTTACCTTACAAGGCCATTTTGATGGGGTGACTGTTCAGGATCATGGGTACCGCACGGAATGAGAACATTCACACAGGCCTTTGGGGGGCTCATAACCACAGATTGACAGGAGATCCCTAGTTGCCTGTCCCGTGGAAGGCAAAACGGAACATTGGACAAGTCAACTGACCAACAGGTATTGAGCTCTTGTTAAGTGCCAAGCACTGTGCCGGTCACTGTGACCCAGTCCTGCTATGAATAGCCTTGTTAATAGCAAAGGCAAAACAAAACATGTTAGGAGTTGTAAATCAAGTGGGAAACAAAAGCTGATGCCTTGAGTGTTTTTCATTTTGGCCAATTTGTTTGTACCAATAAGTAGAACAACGTCGAGCTTAATGCTTACTTCTCCTGAGCCTTGAGGTACCCACAATTCCCTCTTCCTCCCTTCCTTTCTTCTCCCCAGTAATGAAGAATTTCTGAGCATCTAATGTGTTTCAGACACTCAGGCTAGATTCTGAGCATACAGAGATAAAAACACAAGTTATGCCTTTCGGAACTCATGATCTTGTGTGTGTGTGTGTGTGTGTGTGTGTGTGTGTGTGTGTGTGTGTGTCTGTCTGTCTGTCTGTCTGTGAGAGGGTGGTGGTAGAAAGAAATAGATAAACAGACCATTAAAACACAACTTGATAGGGAATTCCCTGGTGGTCTAGTGGTTAGGACTCTGCGCTTTCACTGCCGAGAGCGTAGGTTCGATACCTGGTCAGGGAATTAAGATCCCACGTGCAGGGCGCAGCCAATAAAAACAAAAAAGAAAAACTTGATAAATACTAGAATAGTGAGGCCTCAGGTAGCTCAGAGGAGACATATCAAACTCAGAAAATTTATGTCAAAGCTATAAACAAGCTCCCTGGAGGTGACGCCACTTGAGCTAGGTCTTAGAGGACAAGCCAAGTGGCCAGGGTGGAGAAGCAGGGTGAAGGGCCTTCAGGTCGGCCGGCAGCATGTGCGGTATGTGCTGTCGTGACTGCAGGAGGCTGAGGAGGGGCTCCAGGGAATTCAGCCTTCGGCAGCCGGGACACAGGATGCACCGGGGAAAGGATGGCAGCAGAGCAAGCTGGACTTTGGGCTGAGCCCGGATCACAGAAGAAACTGAACTTAATCCTGAAGGTGATAGAAAGTCAAGGGATTTAAAACAGAGAAGGAACAAAATATATTTTTGTTAGAGGATGTCGAGGACAGACTGCAGTAGAGAAGAAAGACAGAGACAGGGGGACTTCCCTGGTGGTCCAGTGGTGAAGATTCCGCCTTCCAATACAGGGGACGCAGGTTCCATCCCTGGTTGGGGAACTAAGATCCCACATGCCGCGGGGGCAACTAAGCCCCAGCGCCACAACTACTGAGCTCACATGGCTCAACAAGAGAGCCCGTGTGCTGCAAACTACAGAGCCCACGTGCCCTGGAGCCCGAGTGCCACAAATAGAGAGAGAAAACCCGCACACCACAACTAGAGGGAAACGCGAGCAGACTGCGCGCCATAACGAAGAGCCCGCACACCACAACGAAAGATCCCGCATGTCTCAAGGAAGCTCCCACGTGCCACAACAAAGGCCCGATGCAGCCAAAAAAAAAAAAAAGAAAGAAAGAGATAGGGTTGTGACGGTTGTTTACGGTGTAATTTTTAAAAGAGTCCTTTCAGGTGTATTTATACATAACATCAGTCTACTCCTATAAGTAGTCTATAATTAACATTTTTAAGTTGAAGTCTCATTATTCTCTAATACTGGTACCTGAATCAAGGAATGTTACTTGTCATTCCTGGGGAATCAGGTTGCTGGGCGACTCTCCATCCGTTGCTTCAACAATTCTTCAATGGTTCTTTGTTTCAGAGAGAAGGCACCACTACTGGGATCAAAGAAATCACAGCTCAGCTTTAATTGTCAAATTGATTTGAAGGCCATGGTGAAGATAATAATATTGAAAGCTGGGTTTTACTGAGTGACAAAGGTATTTTCTAAATTCTGAAATTTTCCCTTTAAATAACAAGAAGTAAAGTTTGGACTATAGAGAAGGGAAGAACTTGGATAAGGGCAAAACATTTGGAAGAGGAAAGGGAGAGGGGGCGAAAGGTCAGATACAAATGTCTTGCTTGTCTTGTGGGGTGGAAACTTCCAGAAGGGGTGTAAGGAACCCATTGTTACATTTTGAGAAACCTGAGAACACTGGGGTTTTATGTCGGAGGAGACCGCAGGGCATTCAAAGAAGTCCTACATTGGGCAATGGCCCTGCATTGATGCCTTTAAGGAGTGATAGAGCAGCTTCATTCAAGAGCAGTTAGTGGTCCCAGTGGACCCCAGTCTACATGTCACATGAGGAGGCTTGAGGAGGACCCATAAGTGCCAGTAGTGGATGAGAGAATGCTAAGAAAACTGGTAGGCCAGAGGAAGACTGGGAATCAGGAGGAAGCGGTCACAGAACATAGGGTCTTGTTGACTAAAGGCTGTATCAGGAAACTTCAGCTTTAGCAGTGATCCCCAGAATTCCAGCCAGGACCCATTACTTCTCAGCATCACAGGTACAGTTGGTCCAGTGACCCTGTAGGATGAGGGCCATCTCGTGAAAGGCAGGGGAAACCCAAAGCACCCCCATCCCCTGCACCCAAGTGCCCAAGGAGAAGGGAGATACAGTCCTGAGACAGGAAGTGAATTTGAATCCACTATTTACCCCCAGCTGACAATTTTAAACTGGAAGAGACTGAGTTAAATTTTTTAAAAAATTGTGTCTTCCTCAGCATGAGCAAGAAGGGCATTGGTCTCAAGCAGGATGGGCTCAGTTCATGAATATAAGGTCACTTGGGGTTTTTTTGCATCTGAGTTGTAGTGTGTAAACTTCTATTCTGCTTTACCCGTGTATATCTCACACACACACACACACACGCACACACAAACACACACACATGCTTATGAATTCCTTCTCTAACAAAAATCATCATGTCAAAAGATATGTTCCAAAATAGCAGACAACAGAAGATCCTAGGGAAGGATGGCTTTCAAATGAAAAGGCTGAGGATTCTTTTACTTTACAGTATGGGAAGCAACAGAGTGCAATGGTTAAGACCATGGAGCCCGATGTGTAGTCTTCAAACCCGGGTTCCACTTGGGCAAGTCCTTTATATCTCAGTGCCTCAGTTTCCTCCTCAGGAAAATGGAAATAATAATCACACCCACTTCATAGGCTTGATATGAATACTAACCGGGTTTGATCTGGAAAGCATTCGGAACAGCTCCTGGCATCGAGTGGTGCCCTCTTAGACTCTGGTCTCAGGATCTCAAACTCTTGAGGGACTTGTGATTGAAGGCAGGGTCACATGTGAGATGGTGATTTAGAATAAAAAATGTCAGCTTTTTATCCAGACTTCTGAATCTGGGCAGTTCCTTTGGCCATAGCCCTTCTTTCCCCCTAAATCTGTGTATTCAGTGGATATAAGATTGTTTTGTCTGTTTCTGACACTAAAGGACTGTGAAAATTAATGAGGACAATGTCTGTGAAGTGCTTTGAATTTTTTAAAGGAAAACTGAATAAAAAACAAAAGATAAGAAAATTTTTGAGGCACCTTTTCACCATCTGTAACATTCAACTGTTTCATCATTGTTGTCCTTCTTCTAGGGCTCTCTATTTACTTGGCAGCTGAAAAAAAAGAGAAAAAATAGCAATCAGAAATACAATACGTTTCATGAAATGTTTGGCATTTAAATCTCTCATAAAATACAGAGCGGAATGGCCTACAGTATATTTTAGATATATTTGCTGGTAGACTTTTAAAAAATTTCATCACCGTGGTAGCATTTAACACATAAGAAGGAATTTCTCTTAGACCTGAATCCAGAAAATTAATCTAACACCTGTTTAAAAATAGAGATGGTTACTTTCTATGTCCTTTTCTCTATTTTTAAAAGCCCACTACTTGTTCATTCGCCTTCCCCAGATGTTAACTGGGAAATGGAAATCTTTTTTTAAAGCCTAGCTAGAAGAACTCACAGATACACAAAAGTGTTGATAGCACCAAAGGTGCAACTTACATCAAAATCTCACAGGATTCAAAATTTTAAGGATCTGTTGTTGCTACTTCACCTTCCATTATTAAATGCATAGAAATCACAAGGTGTGTACCTGTGAGAATTTCGTGAATTAACAAACATCTATAATGCGGGTGACATTTAAGGTTTTGAGGCAGAGCTAAATTCAGGTTTTTCAAAGCTTGGTCAGCTGTTCAATACAGATATTGTTTTTAATCTAGTGCTATGATCACTTCATCACATAAGCATGTTTCTTGAAATGGCAGGAAACTTGAGGTTTGAGATATTTTTAGAAGGCGTAGTTCCTATAATCCTCCTAGATGCAAATATGAATTACATTCAGCTGGATCCACCACCAAGATCTAAAGCAGTGTTTTTCAAACTGGGTCATGGCCCATTCACAGGCCCTGAAATCACCTTATGAATCAAAACCAGCATTAAAAAAATTAGAAGATAACAGAAAACATAACATCATAGTAGTAGTGCATCTTATGGGGAAAGAGAAAGATTTGTTTCTGTGTGTGTGTGTGTGTGTGTGTGTGTTGGGTTATGATACACAGTGTTTCTCAGGGTGAGCCAATAAAATATATTTGAAAGCTGCTGATCTAAGATTACTGTATGCATACTTCTTAGCCAATATAAACTACTAGGAAGAGGAAAACAGTACACACCTAATGGAAAAATAATTTTTCAATAAATTTCATAGACCTTGAAATTATCCACAGCCTCTAAACCAGTTATTCCACCTTTGGATATTCATCTTAAGGAAATAGTCCAAAATTCAGACAAAGATTATTACACAGAAATATTCACTGCACTGTCATTCATTGTACTGGAAACCCCCAACAGCTTAAGTGCTCAATAACATAGTAATAGTTAAGTCAATTTACAATATGAAAACTAGTTGAGTATGGCATCATCATTAAAGGCAACATTTTCAGAGGATTTATCGTGATGTGGGGAATGCTTATAATATTAAATAAAAAAGCATTCAAACTTGCTTATACTCTATATTAAGAAATTCAAAACTTGTTAAAAGAAAAATGCTAAAATAGTGGTTTTCTGAGTTGAGTTATGGATAATTTTCATTCTGTTTTTCTATATTTTTCAAGTTGACTACAGTGCACGTGTATCATATCTATTGTCTAAGGGAAAACAGGTGTCTCCGTAAAAACAGGCTCCCCCTTCCCAGGATAATAGTGTGTGTTCTTATCAGCCAAGTAGCAGTGGTTTTGCAAGGATGCCACCTTGGTTGACTCCCCTGTTGGTCCACAGAGAGTAATATTGCCCTTCTTTCACATGTACATTCATAGTGTAATGACTCTGAAGATTCCAGTTCACACTGTTCCTGGGTGATTAGTGCCTGCCCATGGGTGATCTTCCCTTTCTCAAGACCAGCACATCAGTTTCCTATCCCTGCTGTAACAGATTACCATCAATCTGGCAGCTTAAAACAACACAAATTTCTCTTCTTACAGTTCTGGAGGTCGGGAATCCAAGATGGTTCTCACTGGGCTAAAATCAAGGTATCACCAGGCCTGAGATCCTTCTGGACATTCTAGGGGAGAACCTATTTCCTTGCCTTTTCCAGCTTTTACAAGCCACCAGCATTCATGGCCCCTTCCTCCATCTTCAAAGCCAGTGGCATAGCATCTTGAACTCTCTCTCTCCCTGCTTCCATCTTCATATTGCCCTCTCCTCCAACTCTGACCCTCCTGCCTCCCTCTTAACAAAGACCTTTGAGATTACACTGGGCCTGCCTTGATAAGCCAGGGTAACTCACTGTCGCAATATCCTTAATTTAATGATATCGGCAAAGTCCCGTTTGCCATGTAGTAACTTATTCACAGGTTTTGGGGATTAGGACATGGATATCTTTAGGGAGACCATAAACCATCACCAGGTTTGACAAAACAGCTTAAAACGGGGGCAGGATGGGGGGAGGGTCATCTCTCTTGCATTACCGATAGAGTGGTTTGAAAACTGCACTGTGCCCAGGTAGGTGCCCCAATTGTGTGTGGACCCATGATTTTCCACCAGAGGACAACATCCATTAATAACAGGATCTGTCACTCAGTCACTGGCAATAGCCAAAGCTTAGCCAAAGAAGAGATGGTTTCCAGCTTTACTGTTACTATGCAAGTCTAAGCATCTCAGAAATGTAGATAAGGTGCAAAAGTACACATAAATAGATGCTAAAGGACCTGGTTTTTTTCTTTCTTGTAGTTGATTTCTAATCTCACAGCATTGTGATCAGAAAAGATGCTTGATATGATTTTAATTTTCTTAAATTTCCTGAGGCTATTTTTGTGGTCCAGCATGTGATCCATCCTGGAGAATGTTCCATGTGCACTTGAGAAGAATGTGTATTCTGCTACTTTCATATGGAATATTCTATAAATATCAATTAAGTCCATCTGCTCTAATGTGTCATTTAAGGCCTCAAAATGGGTTAAAGACCTAAATATAAGGCTGGATACTATAAAACTCTTGAAGCAAAACACAGGCAGAACACACTTTGACACAAATTGCAGCAATATATTTTTGGATCCACCTCCTAGAGTAACACAAATAAAAACAAACAATCATGATTCCCTTCTATTATTGTCTCTTAGGCTATTGCTATGTAGATGACAAATGAGCCAGAAAAGGGAGATTATGAGCTCAAAAAATTCAGAGGTTATTCTAACTCACTTCTGTTTTTATTTTAGAACTTTTAAAGTTCCTCAAGTAATACCACATTGTAAAAGAAGTTAGAAAATACAATTAAGCAGTAATAAAAGGAGTGTTTGTATGTCACGCCTGGTTCTTCAAAGCTGAATACAGGGACTTCCCTGGTGGTCCAGTGGTAAAGAATCTGCCTTACAATGCAGGAGACTCAGGTTTGATTCCTGGACAGGGAACAAAGATCCCACATGCTGCAGGGCAACTAAGCCCGCACACCACAAATACTGGGCCCACGCAGCCTCAACTAGTGCCCGCGTGCCGCAAACTACAGAGCCCACGCGCTCTGGAGCCTGTGTGCCACAACTAGAGAAGAGAAAACCTGCATGCCACAACTAGAGAGAAGCCTGCACACCACAACGAAGAGTCCGTGCACCGCAATGAAAGATCCCGCGTGCCTCATGGAAGATCCCACGTACTGCAACTAAGACCCAACACAGCCAAAAATAAATTTTTTTTAAAAAAGCTGACGGAAGATGACAGAAGAGTAAGATGCGGAGATCACCTTCCTCCCCACAGATACACCAGAAATACATCTACACGTGGAACAACTCCTACAGAACACCTACTGAATGCTGAAAGAAGACCTCAGACCTCCCAAAAGGCAAGAAACCCCCCACGTACCTCAGTACGGCAAAAGAAAAAAGAATAAACAGAGACAAAAGGATAGGGACGGGATCTGCACCAGTGGGAGGGAGCTGTGAAGGAGGAAAGGTATCCACACGCTAGAAGCCCCTTCGCGGGCCGAGACTGCGGGTGGCGGAGTGGGAAAGCTTCGGAGCCGTGGAGGAGAGGGCAGCAACAGGGGTGCGGAGGGCAAAGCGGAGACATTCCCGCACAGAGGACCGGTACCGACCAGCACTCACCAGCCCGAGAGGCTTGTCTGCTCACCTGCCGGGGCGGGCAGGGCTGGGAGCTGAGGCTCGGGCTTCAGTCGGAGCGCAGGGAGAGGGCTGGGTTTGGTGACGTGAACACATCCTGCAGGGGGTTAGTGCACCACGGCTAGCTGGGAGGGAGTCCGGGGAAAAGTCTGGACCTGTCGAAGAGGCAAGAGACTTTTTCTTCCGTCTTTGTTTCCTGGTGCGCGAGGAGAGGGGATTCAGAGCGCTGCTTAAAGGAGCTCCAGAGACGGGCCCAAGCCACGGCTAACAGCGCGAACCCCAAAGACGGGCATAAGACGCTAAGGCTGCTGCTGCTGCCACCAAGAAGCCTGTGTGCGAGCACAGGTCACTATCCACACCTCCCTTCCAGGGAGCCTGTGCAGCCCGCCACTGCCAGAGTACCGGGATCCAGGGACAACTTCTCCGGGAGAACGCACGGTGCGCCTCAGGCTGGTGCAACGTCATGCCGGCCTCTGCCGCCGCAAGCCCGCCCCGCACTGCGTGCCCCGCCCCCCCCGCCCCCCCGGCCTGAGCGAGCCAGAGCCCCCGAATCAGCGGCTCCTTTAACCCTGTCCTGTCTGAGCGAAGAACAGACGCCCTACGGCGACCTACACGCAGAGGCGGGGCCAAATCCAAAGATGAGCCCCAGGAGCTGTGAGAACAAAGAAGAGAAAGGGAAATCTCTCCCAGCAGCCTCAGGAGCAGCGGGTTAAAGCTCCACAATCAACTTGATGTGCCCTGCATCTGTGGAATACATGAATAGACAACGAATCATCCCAAGTTAAGGAGGTGGACTTTGAGAACAAGATTTATGATTTTTTCCCCTTTTCCTCTTTTTGTGAGTGTGTATGTATATGCTTCTGTGTGAGATTCTGTCTGTATAGCTTTGCTTCCACCATT